ACGAGTCACACACGTTGTTCGCATTGATTAGGTAGACTGCAATGTTTCCCCCAGGTTTACTACGTCATGGGGGGGTGGGGGGCGCACCCCTGTTTATAATGATGGAAACACTGAACTGGCAGCGGTCGGTTATCAAAACATTGGCCAAATAACCAGAATGTTCAGGCTTTATGAGAAAATACAGAATCCCTTTGTGTTCATTTGCAAAGCCACGTTAAGACACACATCACTTTATTTAATACGCTGCACTACTTGCAAGTCGCTGTGTTGTGCCAGACTCTCAATAAAACATTTAGGACAAACCCACAGTCATGAAGATACTCATTTAACGTTACATGGAATCTGCATGAGGAAGAGGAGGAGGAAGAGGAGCAGGGTCCATGTCGCTAAATACCAACTTTCCACCGACCACTTTTCTCACCCGGTGTCGCTCCGATCTGCTGGCGCATCGCGGAGAAAACCAATCGGGTGTCTGGATGCTAAATGTTTATACTTCTCATCCTAACAAAATCAAATGCACTCTGTCCGGATAGCGTGATTAATCTGAATAGGTTGTTTTTGTGTTTGTGTTTTTGAACTACGACAAGCCGGAAGTAACGAGACTGTCTTTAAAATGTAAGGAGTAGAAAGTACAGATATTTGCGTGAAAATGTAAGGAGTAGAAGTAAAAAGTTGTCTGAAAAATAAATACTCCAGTAAAGTATAGATACCCAAAATTTCTACTTAAGTACAGTAACAAAGTATTTGTACTTTGTGACCTGACACCTCTGGTTAAAAGGGTATTGGCAGGTACCTTGAACCCCTCGGGCCTCTGAGGTGTCGGCTTTTGTAACCCTGGACAGTTTCTGCCAGTACACGGTGATGGCGTTTGGAATGAGGAACGCCCCAGCCACGTTTCAACGGTTGGTAAATATCGTATTGTCGGATATTCCTGATTGTACAGCATACCTGGACAACCTAGTGATTCATTCGACTACCTGGCCTGATCACGTAGGCACGTTGAGGGCTGTGTTTGCACGCTTGGCCAGTGCATCGTTAACCCTCCACTTGGCCAAATGTGAATTTGGAAAAGCAACTGTAACGTATTTGGGTAAGGAGGTGGGAAGAGGTCGGGTTCGCACCGTAACTGCCAAAATAGCCGGTTTCCTGCCCCTGCTACTCTGCGTGAATTGCGCAGGTTGTTGGGCATGACTGGGTATTATCGAACCTTTTGCAAGAATTTCTCCTGTCGTAGCCCCACTGACCCAATTACTCAGTCCTTCTGTATCATTTAAGTGGACTGATGAGTGTCAGTCTGCTTCTGAGTCTGTGATAGACCTATTATGCACTTCTCCGGTTCTTTCTGCCCCTGATTTTGAAAACCATTTAAGTTAGAGGTGGGTGTGGGTGCTGTACTGTTGCAGGAACATGATGGAGTAGATCACCCAGTTTGTTACTACTCAAAAAAATTCAACAGTTGCCAGTCCCGTTACTCTACCATAGAACAGGAGACTCTGGCGCTGTTGTTTGCATTACAGTTTTTTGCAAACTTGTTTTTGTCAAGTTTATGTTGGCTCGAGTGTATTGCCTGTTGTGGTATATACTGACCACAATCCTTTAGTTTTTTTGGGCCGCATGTACAACCACAACCAACGTCTCATGCGTTGGCCGTTGGTTATAGAAAGTTATAATTTAGAGATATGACACATAAAGGGGTCAGAAAATGTGGTTGCTGATGCTCTGTCTCGTTTTTAAATGGAAAGGCCTGTGATCTTTTTGTGTTCGATTACTTCTCTAACTTTTGTTGGGACCACTGTAAAAGTTACTTACAGACCATGTCGTAATCCCACGACATGTCCCATGTTTTGTTCTGTGCCTTTAACTGTGCCCCTTTCTCGGTTCACAGGTGTGCGGTGCTGGGTGGCTGTTGGCGAGGAGGCGTGGCCGGTGAAGACCTGGGGAGTAATCGGCTAACGAGCTGATTGCCTGTAGAAACCAGCCTGGTTGCTGCAGAGGAAAAAGAGAAAGGAGGGAGAGGCCTTGTGTTTTGTATGGCCTGTCAAAGACGTTTTGTGTTGAATCCTGCCGGGTGAGATCCCGTTGTGCTCTACCGGAGTTCTGGAGAAGGTGCAGGTAGTTCTGCCCATGTGTGTACATTTGCATCACGTAGGTAAATCTTTGTTACACACACTGTGTTAGCTGGGCGGGGGTCACCCCTGTAGTTTTGGCCATAGAGAGGTAAGCTGGTTAGGGATAGACTGTGTTAGGCAGACTGTGTAGAAGAAAAGGGACCTTTTGTTTATTTCATTACTTCTCCCCCCTTCCTTGGTTGTGTGTGTACGTCGGCTGCTGGTTACACTGGGTGCGCAAGCACAGGCGTTTAATTTCCCACCTCCAACGAACGTAACAATCCTCCACTCGAGAAATTCGTGTGAGGCCTTAAAGCTTTGTCACTTTTAGTGATGGACGTTCGGATCATTTTACTGACTCTGTTCTTTCAATCTCTATCAGTAAAATTGTTGCGTCCCCCACCTCTGGTGTTTGTTGCTACACGTGTTTGGGTGCAGGCTGTGTCCTGATTACAGATGAGCCGCACCTGAGCAGAACCTGTGTTGGCGCTACAAAGGCTTCCTGGACCGTTCTCGGGGGGGTGGGGGGGGCACACAGATCCCTCAGAGTGCACAACGGTGCTGCTGCTGCCAAGATCGCCGTCCACCCGGCAGTGAAAATGTTCCGCATTTGTATTATTTAGTTTGTTAAGATACCATTTAATATCCATTTTGTTAAATAAAATACCCCTAGATTATTTTGATACACGTAACAAAACAGAACATCTTTTTTCCATTCATTCATTTCAACGGGGGGGGGGGGGGGGGGGCTAAATGCGTCCACTGCCAACACGTAGCATATTCTCATGTAGGTTAGTGCATGTAAACCAGTAGATACTAATTCATAAGGAAATTCTTGCATTAAAATAATGTATCATGACAGTTTGGATGATTTGAACCGCTCATTTATTATCACACTTTCTTCTGACTATCAGTCTATAACCATCCCGATGCGCCGCCACGAGAAAATGAACAAATTTTGTTCTGAAAGACTCGTTACTCCGAGTCCTTCAGAACGGACGATGTCACTTTATCTGATGTCTTATTGAAGAAAAGAACCAGTCACATGTCTTCACCACACTTTCCACCTTCATCCTTGCGCAACGTTCAGGTGGCGTGTGTGTGTGTCCTGGTTTTCTCTCAGCGGCGTCAAGCTCTCTGTTGCACTCCGACCCCTAAAGGACCCTACCAACCCCCCGGTGACCTCTGACCATGTTGTGTTCCTGTTCTACATTGAACAGTCCCGCCGCTCTTTTCCCTCTTCCAGCGGCGAGCTCGCGGGCAGCAGACGCTCTTGCTGGGCTGCCAAACGTGTTGCAGAAAAATGTGTTTGTGAAACGCTTTCCAGGAAGAGTTGATCAGTTTAACCTCCATCGTCCCTGCTGAGTCCTGAGGCTCCATCACAACAATCTTCTGTTTTATTTAAAGAACCTCCAGGAAAACCAACAGATTGTGTACTGAATGATTGCTGAAATGTTTGTTTGTGAATGAACATAAACTTGAATTATTTCAATGGTAATTATTGGAATATATTTATAGGAAACACGTATTTCTCTACATTTAGCTCATTTGACTGCCCTGATTAATCTGAAATCTGAGGGATCTCTGGTCACCTTCCTCTACATCTTTATCTTCACCAGGAGGAAACTGTCTGCTTTTGTTCCTTTGATGCTCACATGTTCATGTGTGTCAGATGCTTGACAGATAGGAGAGATTTTACACTTTATTGCAAAATGCATGACAATCGATAAGTAACCACAGCACTCCACCCTTTAATGCTGAAGGTGAAGTTAAACCTTCTCTGTGGACACACAAACTCTCCTCCAAACTATCAGGAGACATCTGACGATGTCTCCGAGGACGTCTCCGGATGCCTTCGGAGACGTCCGGTGACAGTTTGCTGCCAGCCTGACGATAAAGGAGCAGGTCCTGAGGGATCTGGACCCGGGCCGGGCCTCGTGGCAGCAGAACAGAGGCCTAGCCGGGCATTAATATGGATGTCCACCAGGCGCCTCTCTGTGCGAGCTGCCACCAGCCGCTCTGTGCCAGCCAATAGCAGCGCAGAGGCTACCTGCCAAGGTCATCAATAAACATCCTCAGATGGCTCCTTGTGTCTCCAGCACAGCGGCCTGGAGAGGGTCCACGGGGGGTACTTTCACTGCTCAGAACTTTGCTTGCTTCAGAGACAGCAGCAGATAAAGTACTTCTGCTACTGAGACAATCGATGGAACATCAAGAAGCTGCCTGTTGAATTCTCCATCTGGTCCATTTGGTGACTTATGTGTAGATTAAATAGGCGGGATGTGTGTCAGCGTTAAACCCAAAGTGACTCACTCCGCTAACACCTAACGTCACATTTCAGGGGCTGGAGAGAAAAAAACACAAATCCTGTAGAAACATCAGTCCAAAGAGTAAGACTCTGGTTGAGAGGTTTTCTCCTCTGTGCTGCAGCTCACGATGTGGTGACGGCGCTTCACAGCTGATGGAGACGAGGCCGCTCGCGGTCGCCGGTCACGCCAGAGGAATGTCTATGGGAGTAAAAAAATGACTTCATCCAAAATCACAGGCCCCTTCTGTCCTATTATATGCTAATTAGAGGACGCTCGGGACGCTTTAGCTAACGAGACACGAATCATTTCAACCACGAAGAGAAATGCAACACAATGGTCGAGCACATCGAGTCGGAGCGGGAACATATGGCCCGGCTTACATTTCACAGACGCACACACACACACAGACACAGGCTCCCAGCATGCACCAGCCTAGCTGCTGATGTGCTAATTGGCTTGATGTGGTTCTGAAAATAGTGTCGGTACGATCCCCTGTCTGCCCTCGGAAAAGATCATGCCCTTTAAATTCAGTCCCAGCAGGCTGTCAATAGGAAATGGCTGAGAATAAAAGGGGGGGGGGGGGGTTAAAGGCATTTCAGTTCTTTGTCCCTCAGTGACATCACCATCGCCATCATCCTCAGATCACAGCGAAATACAAAACTACACCCAGACTGCAGTCACTACACACAGCTACACGTATACGCATCTGGCTTCTCCGCGGAAACAGAACGATTATGACTAGAAGAGAGAATATTGAATAGCGAGTTAAATATTAATTACCTTTTTCATTATTCATTATCATACTATAGATATATTTGGAACATTGTTTATAACTTAATATTTAATTTATTGAGCAGCTTCAGTTTTGTTAAAAATCCTTTTACTTAACCTAACTTTTATTAACACTGCAGGTATTTAATCAGGCGGAAAGGTCGATTTGGTTCATTATCAGATTGTCGGGGGAAGGTCTGCTGAAATAAATTAAACATTTAATATATTTAATTAATGTTGTTTTACTTGGAAAGAAATCCCAACATGAATGTGAACAATTCAATGTAGAGTTTCCAATTGGCCTCAAGGGAAAGTTTTCCCTTTTCTCATTTTAAATTACATTTTATTAGTTAATTTCACTAAGTTTAGTTTTTCTTATTTGGGATAAACCTGAATACCAGGAGAAAATACTAACATGACTACGACTTATTTCCGATAATATTTCTAGTTCCCAATTACATAACCCAATTTCCCGTACAGGAAGTGTGCGTAGTCATGGCAACGTCTCTCATTGGTTTGCACAGGTGTTTGTTTCCTGTAGGCGGTCCGCGTCTTGAAAGACCTCTTGACCTCGTCCAACGCTTATCAGTGAATCCTCAATGTCCTTTTGAAGAATATCTGACCTTCATCCCGGTGACGTGTCTCGCTGGAGGAGGACTGAAGGTCCGTGAGGTCGACACAAAGGAATAAAGAGTCCATCCTTGTCTTGGCTCTGGTTCGTGGTTACAAGATGCAGCTGCTCATGTTCCTGTCCACTGTCTGCAGGTCACCGCTGATTTCATCATCTGCTCTTTGTTTTCAGAGAAGAAGAGAAACATGACAAGAAAAAAAAAACTGCCTCGTTACTTTCTCAATGATTTTAATGTCTGTCAGAAAATAAGACGCCATCTCAATCAGAAGGGAACACGTTGCTGTTTGAACGGAACTCGATCCGCTGAGCCTGAAGGACGTTGGTCTAACCGGCGACCAGGAAGTAAATCAATCCAAGCGCTTTGCAGGTTTGAATCTATACTTTGTAAGAAGAGTAATGATGTAAAAATGATATGATTATAATAACACCCTTCATGATTAATCAACCTCAATTACTGTTTGTCACCTTCGTAGTGTTTATTTTGGCCCAGTCGACGTTTCGTCAGTGACACAAAGGACGTCTGAATCACTGGTGCACAGCACATGTATGTATGTTTTAGTCACGCATGTTCGCCATCCTTACAGAAGCCCATTACGTGCCCCCGTCACCGCAAAGTGCTGCTTAATTATTCCCCCCACGGGTCACGTGTTCATTACGCCACAACTAATTACCACCAGTGTGTGCGTGTGTGGGTCTGTGTGTGTGTTCACTTTTCATTCCTGACCCCAAATTGACTTATTGTGTGTATAATAAAACAATCCATCCATCTTCAAACCGTTTGTCTAAAGCTAAAAAGTAAATCACTTTTCCCAACTAAAATACATGAATGAAACTAGAAAATACACAAATTAAAGACTAAACTCTCAAATCTAACCTTTTTATAATCATTTTAAATAATATGAATGTAAAATATAGGAACCTGATCTGCTTGTTGTCTGAGTATTCAGACTGTGAATCAGCCACTATGTGTGTCATGGAGACACACTTGCACATTAGTGAAGCTGATCAGCAGTCCAACACAACTACACAACTACTCTGCAACAAGCATTCACGTGAATAAAACAGGAGACTTAATCAGAAGAACCACGTCACATTCTCTTCTTCCTCTGCTCACATTAAACCAGCCGATGCATTTAATAATCTTGAATCCGTCTCTGGAGAATTCCCCCGTCTGTGAAGCTCTCACACAGTGTAGTTACCCATAATGCACTTCACTCAAACAGCCTGCCTAATTCAGTCACCGTGTTGGAATCCACAGGGACTGAATTAACACGGCAGTCTGCTTCCTCGTGTCTACGCTCAGAAAACATCACGGCTCTCTTCATGTTCCTGATGTCCGTTTGTGTCCGACATGAGGAGACTGATGAGGGCGTATTGATCTTCTGAGTCATTGATCCGCTCCTGGAGGCTGTAGGGATCCTAACCATCTCTGGAGGTCCGTCATCAAAATGAAGCTGTGTAGATGTTTCAATTAAAATCCAAAGACATTTATTCTGAAAGAAAACCCCGTGCAGAGCCTCAACGTGATTTACGTAGTTTATTTGTACTGTACGTGAGCCAGAGAGGCTACTTTCCATCTGCTGATGTGTTAACGCAGCCTTAGTGAACCCGCTCCAGTTCTGCTGCCCGTTTAACCCCCGAAGAGACGGCGTTCAATGTTTGTATTTCGTAATTGGTAATTTCACCATTTCATCCTAGTCATCAAAACCAGCTCAGGGATTGGATGACACGGTGACCAAAATCTCCACACCTCTGCAAACCACACCCCCTACTGTTCCCACCCGTCACTCATTCCTGCTCTAATGCCCCGCCCCCTGGTCCTCAGCGCATGCGGTGAAAGGCACTTTGGAGCTCATAGGAGAAGTTCTTCTTCGGATTATGTTCCCCCTACATGAAGCGCTGATTTCCCTAGAAGACGTTTGCTCAGTGGAAGCCGCTGAGCATCTTTCCGTGGACTCGGCCTCTTGGCAGGGACGCAACTCTGGCTCTTAAAATGAAGGTCCCACTTCATGTAGTGACCACCAGGGGGCGACTCTTCTGGTCCCATAGACGTCTATGAGGAAATGACTCATGTCATTTAGCTGACTTAATGATTGGAATAATAATAATAGCTAATAATAATTTCAACCATAAGGATACAAACCCAGAAGAACAAGAAACCAGAAAGTGAAATTTCATTAAATAAGCCGATTTACAACAACGATTAGATGAGTGCCATTATAAGTGCTGTCTTTTTAGTCAAGGTAGAGCCTGAAGAGCTGTGTCTTTAGTTTGCGGTCTCGAGTTTATGGTCTCGATCTCTAGCTTCAAGTCTTCTTCAATACAGCATGATGTTCATTTTTTAATTATGGTTCATTTAGTGTCAAACAGACCGACGCTTTCAGGCCGCTCGCTAAAAGCTTCTAATTATTGACGTTTCAACTAACTCAGTGAGAATAAAAGAGCAAGTGAAGGAAAGAGAGAGTTGGAGTGAGCAATGCTCTGCATCGCCTCGGGCCTGTTGGCCTTGGTCCTCCTCTTCCTCCTCCTCTTCCTCCTCCTCCCCTCCAGCCCATTTGTCAGAGCTGCTTTAAAGCGGTCGTCCCCGAAAGGCTTCTGAGGTTTTACCCACAATCCTCTGGGCCTCCGCCGGTATCTGCCCTCGGTCGGGAGTCTGAGGTCAGGCGCCCGCCGGCCATGGACACCCTGCGAAGCTTTAAGGGGGGGGGGGATTTAAAGCCAACATGTCTAGGCGGCTCTCGGAGGAGAGTGTGAATAATCAAGTAGAGGCTGAAGCCTGAAGCTTCTGGAAGGAAACCATTTCCCTCCCAACAACCTCAATCGTTTCTTCATATTCAGGACGTTTCCTGAGCTTCTTCCACAATAACAACATGTTAATTTCATAGTAAGACCAACAACACTTTCCTTACATCTTTCATATCATCGTCTTTGGATATTTAGAAAAACTAATATGACAGAAAAGAAACCTCGGCCGCGTAATTATACATTAAAGTATTAAACACAAGGCTCTTTAATGGGTGGTTTGAGGAGATAAACCTCTCAGAGGGGAATTCTATATCAGAATATATTTTAATATCGGGATTACAGCTACGAGACTATTACAGCATGAGAGTATCCTGTGAAACGTTGGAGACAAGCGGCGGACAGCAGAGCGATAATGAAGGACGGAGTACGAGACATTCTTTGAATGTCAGAATGTGTTTAGTGTCTGAGGATAGACGCTCGTGTTCATGGATCAGCGGCGGCGCTTCGCTGTGTTGACGTGCGCCGCCGTCACACCTGTTAGTTAATTATCTCGTTAGCAGAGAACAACAGCTTGTTAGCGTGAAGGTTTTTAATAGATGACAAACAAGTCAAAGGTAGAAGTCAGAGAGAAACTTTAATGATGAAAACATAAAGGTTGTTTAAGGCATTTTCCTTTGTTTGTAATTCAGTAACGTGTGAATATTTGTCATGTTGGATTCTGTTCCCGAAGCCGCTGCACTTAAGCTAACGAACATTAGCTACAACGTTAGTGAAACATCTGAAAACTTTGTTTTTTGTGATAATAAGTTTGTGGAGAAACGTGGTGATGACGACTTCATGATCATTTAGACTTAAACGTTTAACTGTGGAAGTTGTTGCTCGATCAAAGGACAGATTCCACTCATATCCAATAAACAAAAGAAGCTGCATGTATTAGATCACATGAGCAGGTTTGGAGGGTTTTTTATCATCTTTTTATCATCTATGAACGATGTGTGCACATGACCATCCTTCCCCCGTCTTTATTTTGTGGGCATCTCCATCTAAAATGTTGATTTTGTAGAGTCTAATATTACATTTTCAAACGGTTTTGCTACTAAAAACAACTTTCTTCATAGTTATATAATCATCATGTACGTTTGTGCTTTTCTCATCCTTTAGATTCAATCTTGTGTCCTTTTAGGACTTTAAACTCCAGGTTCTCCCCGAGCGCCTGTTGCCCCACAGCTTGTTGGATGAGTGACAGCTGCTTCACGTTTTCCCGCCTCCTTTCTTCACATAAAGCTGTCAGTCACAGCGAGATGACGGGTAAGCAAATCTGCCGATGGTCATTTATTGACAGGTCACCAGCGCTGCTTTTTCTCCTTTTGGCTGATGTCATTTTCTTCCACCAAAGTGAGAAGAGGGAATGGACCTCACCGGCTGGCTGACGGAGATGTTTCAATGTGTTTCTGTGTGCAGTCCAGCTGACGGAGTCTCTTACTCCTACTGTTCATCTGTAGATAATCTATTCATGTGTCTATCTGCTGATCAATAATTCCAGCTCTCTATGTGTAAATGTAATTATTAATCCATGTTCTGCAGATCGATCTGAGTGTTTTAAAGAAGGCGGTCACTTGGTGGCCCTCTGCCCCCCGAGGGACCACCGTCCCCCTTTGCTCTGCACCGAAACAATTTAGGCTCAGAGAACGACCGCCATCAATTTATTTATTGCCTCCGAGCTAATCAACATCTGGAAACGAGCGGTAACCTTATAACCAATATAAATCCAATCTGGGAGAGAACGGGATGACATATTTCCATTTAGTTTTCTGATTGAAGTCTCAGTGTTGCTTGTTCTGTCCATCAACCGTCCACGCGAGTTCCTCCCGACCCCCCCGTCTCCACCACACACCGCTCGCAAGTGAATGACCTCACCTGGTGTGTATTTTGATCAGTGTGTCTGATTCAGGTTGATCGCACACACAGCAAGACGGAAGCCTCGGCCCCGCTCTGTGATTCCATTCAGCCGTCCGCCAGGAAATCATTTAAACTGATCCTCAACGGGTTCCAAAGGCGCCGCTTTTTCTTTCTTCCTCCGGTCTGGTCTCTGATAATGTGGCTCTTAACTAGAAATCCCCCTTTTCACCACACGGCCTGTAATCGCTTCTTCACGTATGAATGAGCCACTCCGAAAGAGATTCAAGCCCTCATTTAATCGGCTGCTTAATTTGCAAGCGGCTGCCGCTGGACTGGGAGTGGCAGAGGGGACTGGGAGAGGCAGATAGAGGGGACTGGGAGTGGCAGACAGAGGGGACTGGGAGAGGCAGAGGGGACTGGGAGTGGCAGAGGGGACTGGGAGTGGCAGAGGGGACTGGGAGAGGCAGAGGGGACTGGGAGAGGCAGATAGAGGGGACTGGGAGAGGCAGAGGGGACTGGGAGAGGCAGATAGAGGGGACTGGGAGAGGCAGAGGGGACTGGGAGTGGCAGAGGGGACTGGGAGAGGCAGAGGGGACTGGGAGAGGCAGAGGGGACTGGGAGAGGCAGAGGGGACTGGGAGAGGCAGATAGAGGGGACTGGGAGAGGCAGGACAGAGGTGACTGGGACTGGCAGATAGAGGGGACTGGGAGTGGCAGAGGGGTCTGGGAGAGGCAGGGGGGTCTGGGAGTGGGCAGATGGGACTGGGAGTGGCAGAGGGGACTGGGAGTGGCAAAGAGGACTGGGAAGCTGGAGGCAGCGACTGGGAGTCGGGAACTATGGAAGGGTTTTTCATTCTCTGGGCAGGTTTTCCTGTGCCGATGTGAGGGTTTCGGGACAGAGGATGTCGCATGTGTACAGACTGTTAAGCCCTCTGGGGCTAATTTGTCATTTGCAATTTTGGGCTTTACAAAACAAAATGAAAAAAATGAATCGAAACTGGTCTCTTCTGTCCAAGTTTAATCCTCCGAGCACAAAGCAGCTTCTGGGCCTTTGGTCTCCGCTCACATTCATT